GGCTGTGGGCCAGCCTTGCCACCAGCTCTGGCCCCTTTCAGAATCTTCAGTTTCTACTGGGTTAAGGGCCTGCCAGCCTCCGTACTCTGGGGGTGGCAGAAAAGTGACTTCTCATTGGCGTTTGAGAGATGGGGGATGGAAATCCTGGTGAGTCATAGTGATGGTGGTACAGAGCATCCACCAGGTGCTTGTACTGTGCCAGCTTCTGTGCTAATCTTGGCACACTGGGTCTTTGAGGCCTGGTTCAGAGTCAATATAATCCAGAGTCCACTCTTCTTTTCTTAGCCAAATATCATATGGGGTGGCATGAGGTATGTCTCAGAAGCTGTACTTCTTAGAAGCCTGACTCGGTTGTCATGAGGTCCTTGTTTCCCAAGGGATCAGCTGGGTCTCAGGAAGCAGCATGGGGTTCTTTGGGTTGCTAGAGGATATCTCTGCAGCATCTCCTTCTTCAGGTAGGCAACACAGCTGAATAAGCAGATGGGAAAGTTCAGAACCAGGTCCCCAGGAACCCCAGTAAGGAATCAGAGAGGTGGAAAACATCTCCTTGGGTCCTGGCTTGTCTTGATATTGTCTGTCAGCCAAAGCCTTGCTGTGCTTCACTTTATAAAAATCAGGGTGGTTCCAGGACAGCCAGAGAAAGCCTGCTTCAGATAGATAGATAAATAGATAGATAGATAGATAGATGGATGGATGGATGGATGGATGGATGGATTGATAGATTAGGACTACACAAAGAAACCCTGTCTCCAATCAGTCAATCAATCAATCAATCAATCAGGACAGCCAGAGCTACACAGAAACCCTGTCACAAATAAGTAACTTAAATAAATAAGTTAAAAATAAATGAATGAATGAATGAATGAATAAAGTCAGGGTGACCCAACTCCACCAGCTCCCACAATTGCAAGAGATTGACTGCTTAGGGTGAATGTGGGTGGATTTTGTTTCTGCTCCTAGAAGTGACACACAAGCATATGGGAGAGGGGTAGGGTCTGTGTCCTCTTTCCAGTCTTGTTTTCTAAGGTGTATGTTGTGATATGATGTGCGTATGTATGCTCTGTGTGTACGGATAGCTGCAGAGCCCAGAAGAGGGCTTCAGGTCCCCTGGAAATGGAATTACAGATTGGTAAACTGCCTAACAAGAGTGTGCAAATGTATGCTTAGTCCTCTGGAAGAGCTTGAAGCACTCCAAACTGCTAAGCCATATCTCTCCAGCCCTCGCTCTTGTTTCCTTAAGCAAAGAATGTCAAGACTCCCTTTTGTCTGCCAGTTTGGCAGCACAGGAACTTGCTCGTTAGGACCTTCACCTCTGAGAGTATTACTTATTAAGGGCCTTGGGACAGTAAAGGGAAGGGGAGGAGGTCTCTAGTATACCCGTCCTTATGAGTCTGCAGTTTCTTGTATCCCATTGCATTTAAATACATATTAACATATATGTATGTCTATCTGTATAGTGTGTGTGTGTGTGTGTGTGTGTGTGTAGATCAGAGGACAATATGAGGAGCTAGTTCTCTCTACTGTGTGAGCCTGGTGATGAAACTCGGGTCATCAGGCTTGGCAGCCTCCCTAACCCATCTCGTCAGCCTCTTCAACTGCTGCAGATTCTCCCTGATGCTGTTGGAGCACAGCAGTGAGGCAGAAACCGCAAAGCTTACAGAGTTCAGGTTCTGGGGCCTTTCTGATCTAGTTCAGAAACCATGAGTGAGCCAGGTTTCCTCTTTGTGGACTACTGTTCCACCTGCAGAATAACACTCAAGAAATACCAGGGCCTAAGTTCAATCCCCGCATCTGAGACAGGAGAGGAAGGAAAGTGAAAAGAGGAGAGAGAAATAGAGATATTTAGAGAAAAAAAATACTAGTGTGTATCCCTTGATGTCCATATCTTGATGTCGGTCACACATTTGTCGTGAATAAAATCCCTGGAAGACAGCAAGCAAGGGGCCAAGCTCTGCTCCCAGTCAGTTCACACTGCCCTACATCATTGTGTTTCCTGGTCGTGCGTAAGCTCCACAGTCTAGGGAGAACCCTGACGTGCTCCCTGACCTCTGGGTCAGAGGGAAGAGCTTGAAAAGCCTTAGCAGGGTTTTATCCGGGGAATATGGTCTAACTTGGGTCCAGGCATTAAGAAAAGAGGAATTTGTCTGGAGATAGAGGTATCAGAGAAGGCTTCCTGTGCCCAAACATGTCTTTTAGGCCACCAAGAGGACAGGAGAGGGCATCCATGCCACAGGAGAGTATTCTCTGACCAGAGGTTCAGAGAAGTCGCAAGTATCCTGATGGACAGGGCATGAAATTTGGAATGGAGCATCAGGTCAGATGGTAGAAGCCGAGAATAACAGGAGGAAGCCAACTAAAGGGACTGGCCTGGTCACCATGGGTACAAGGTGGGAAGGATGGAGGCTGTCAGGCCCTGTGCCACCTAGGCCAGCTGGAGCTGAGCAGGCGTGCCCACTCTGTGCCTGTCAGCCTGTAGCACTTGGCTTGGGCCTGGGAGCTCATGGAGCCATTTCCAAGTTTGCGAGGAAATTGTGGAGTCCAGAAACTGGACATCTTCCCATGCCACAGTATTTTTTCTACCACTATCATTTATTCATTCAACATTTATTGACGTACATTATGTGTCAAGTAAAGCCTTAGGGACATAGAGGAGGAAACCACAGTCCTCTATCCAGCCCTTTAGCTCTTGTAATATGGAACTTTACATATCTATCCACAACAGGAAGGTCAGGCTGAGGGGAGGGAGTGCTGAGTTAGCAGGCATGGGATGTGACAGTTACCATCATTTGGTGGCTTCTTGCCTCCCCTTTCCCCCTCCACTCAAGAATCTGCAAGAGCAAAGTCAGAGGCCATTTCATACTTTGCCCATGGTGGCTGTCAGCTCTCACTTAGCTTCCGCCAGACTTCAGTTCTCTGGATCCCACCAGTTCTATAATTTCCCTTTCTCCATTTAAAACAATTTTGACCTTAAGAATCAGAATTATCAGCTGGGCAGTGGTGGCGCATGCCTTTAAGCCCAGCACTTGGGAGGCAGAGACAGGCAGATCTCTGTGAGTTCGAGGCCAGCCTGGTCTACAAGAGCTAGTTCCAGGACAGGCTCCAAAGCACAGAGAAACCCTGTCTCAAAAAACAAAACAAAGCAAAAAAGAATCAGAATATCATTAACTCATTGGGATTTCTGTATGAGACTAGTAGGGAACATCTTAAGTACCATTAAATAATAAGCTACACCTGGAAGAATTCATGGATGAATGTTTTCTTCTCCTTAGACACCAGAAGCTTCCCTGGAGAGCCAGGTTCAGAATTCTCCCTGGTTTTCCCTACGCTGGATCCTGAGCGCTGCTCTTGGCACTTAGGCTTGCATTGGTAAACTAGCAGTGGTGAGCACCTGGCCGCCCTTCCCTGCACAGTGGGGTTATGGCCCAGCCCTGCAAATGGAGCCTTAACCAGCCCTCCAACCCTGACTATGGACTTTTTCTGTCCCTTGCCTTCCAAGAACAGGAAAGACAAATGGCTTTCTTCTTCTCATTACTACAACTCTGGTAGACTTGTTACTGGTGTGTGTGTGTGTGTGTGTGTGTGTGTGTGTGTGTGTGTGTGTGAAAGATAAAACTCTTAGATACTGTATGGTGAGTATCAGAACACATCGGAGGGTCCATGCCACTTTTGGTACCTGGGAGTTCTTTCTAAATCTTTGGTTTGGCCTCAAGAAGACTAGGAGGACATGCCCTGACCTCTTGCTTCCTTCTGTACTGTCTAGCTGTTGCTGGCGTACCAGGTGAGTGTACTTGAAATCGATTCTTCTGTGGACAGGTGAGTAGCCACTGGTGAGACGGCAGCACTGGGCACTTTCTAAAACTCTGCTTTCCCTTTCATACTGGAAGTCCAGAGGTCTGTGAGGATGCTGTCCCAGGAAGAGAGCTTCTACTCTTGTTCTGTATGCAGGACAACAGAGCAAGGTGGTTTTCGGGGTTTAGCTGCTAGCAAGTGGGTCTTCCTTATACTGAGTGGCCTTGGCTCCCTTGTGGCTTCCTTTGCTTAGATTTCCTGGAGAAAGTGGACTGAATAAATGTCACCCCTCCAGAGACTTGCCAAATGACAGCTCTCAGTCACAAGGAAGCTGCTGGGAGATACTTCCTCCAGAGTAGAGTGGTTCACAGACCCCTGTGCTGAAGAAGGAGGAGCACAGTTGTCTCATTTCCTGTTCTGCTGTCCCCCTCATAGGCCTCGTCTCTCTTTCAGGACATTCTCCAGGGTCAGAAGAAGAGAAAAGAAGAAAGACGGCTTGGTGGCGACTAAAAAGGTGTGCTCCCTTCCAACACATGCCGCGGGCCCCGCCAGCAGCCGTCCCCTCTCGGTGGCGGTGGCTGCAGACAGATGGTGCAGGTAGAACACGCTCTCATTCACTGTCGTTGTTACTGCTTCTCCTTCGCTGGGACAAAAACAGCCTCGTCTGAGAAAGACACCAAAATAGGGAAGCCAGATGTGAGGGCATACACTTCCCATCCTGGCTCTTCAGGAGACTGAGGCAGGAAGAATGCTTGAGCCCAGGATTCAATGTCAGTTTGAAAAACTAATGAGGCCCTGTCTCAAAATATAGTACAGTATAAGCAGATGGAATGTTCCCTTCTTGTGGGCCTAGTTGCTTGCTAGGTTGATCCATATCAAGTTTCTTTACTGTTAAATCAAGACCAGTCAACTGTTGATATGGTTCCTTTATGAGATGGTACATATTAACCATTTGTGTTCCTCTTATCCTACGACACCCCTTCAAAATTATTTTAACAGCAAGAAACTGGAGCCTGAGATTGTGCTGAAAGAAAAACTATCCCAGCAAAGCTCCACTTTGCTCCGACGTCAGGATATGTTGTCTTGAGATACAGTACAATCAAAATGACTTTTGAAGCCCAGATGTGGTGATGCAGGCCTTTAACCCTAGTACTTGGGAGGAGGGCGCAGGGAGATAAGAAGTTCAAGGTCATCCAGGGCTACCTGAGCTCCTGCCTCAGAAAGCAAGCAAAAGAAGTAAAGGAAAAGACAAAATGACTTTGGTTATCCTTTCCTTCACCATTAATAAAAGAAGGAAAGCCTCTGAGATAGCCTCGCCAGCCCTGACTGAGGACTGGACCAGTTACGGAACTCTGATTCAGAGCCCTTTGCTTCCATCGGATGGTGAGATGGTGTTTTACTTCTCCATCATGGGAGGCTGCGGTGCAGTAGAGGAAGCAGGGTGCTGGGGTGCTGCCTCGCAGCTACACCACAACCTCTTGGCCACCCCAGCGGCGGGGGTGCCATCCAGTCTTCAGTACATCACTGTCAGTGTGTGTCTGTGGCCGCCTCTGGGTGTGTGTGTTTCTTTTTGTATCTCCGTGTCAGTGTCAGGCCATGTGTGTCTATTTATGTCGGCCTGTCTAGGCGTGCTCAGTGTGACAGGGAGCTGGGGGCGGTGTTGGTAAAGGAAGACATTTCCAAGCCTCAGCTTTCCCCTCGGGGACATCAGGATGCTGGTATATATGTACTTGCACATATATAGATACAGAGCTTTTGTCATGCTGTTCATTGGATGGGGGCTGCATTCAAGTGTCTGGCCAGGTATGGCCTCAGCAGTGGCCTGACTGGGGAAGCCCCATCTGCCAAGAGCACACAGAGTTGCCTTCCCGCCCTCCCTGTCCATGGGGAGCCTGTCACTTCGCAGTTTACCATCTACTCTCTAATTTATTAGATGGGAAGGAGGAGAAAATGAAATGTTGCCTGAAGACAATGGCCGAGACAGCTCGTCCCACCCTGCACAGCCGCCAGCGCCTCCTTCCCCAGCCTTGACTCCTCTGTCGTGAGTCTGCACATTACTCTGCTAACCCTGAGGTAAGAGAGAAAAGAACCTCCAAACCATTCTGTTAAAAAGTTATGCCCGCCCCCTGCACGTGCAGAGATAGCTGAGAACTGTTGAAGGAAGAAGCCACCAAGATGAAGGCCTGAGTGAGCATAGGATCTAGCTGCTATACCATAGACACAAGGCCCTTCATCCGCTCTGGGGCTCCCACCTCGTAGTCCCAAGACTCCCAGATCCCAGCCAAGCAAGGGAGGGGCAAGGGGCCCAAGGCAGCTGCAGGGGCTATGTTAGTAAACACTTTACTGGCTTCCTATTTTCTTCACACACACCCCCACCCTTCTCCACTCCCTGATGCCCCTTACACACTCCCACCCCCCTCAGCATCCCCCTTTCTGTGGCCTGCACAATGAGCTCATTGTCCCGGGTGTGATTTGAATAAGGGATCTGCGGGCCTGTTCCCAGCATTGTCCGAGGGGCTGGGAAAAACCCCAGTGCAGGCAGGAGGACCAGACCAGACAGAGACAGATGCCTAAATTAGCAACAAAGCTTTGTGCAGGTCCCCTGGACAAGGGCTCGCCTTGTCTGCATGGACTCAAGGGTGTGGAGCTGGCCGGCTGCTCGCATGTCTCCCCATGTTAATTAGTTTTGCATGCATGTCTGAGAAGGTGCCAGGGGAGCTGTGTTTGCCTTCCTCCTCCCCCAGGAGGGGGCCCTGTTTGTGACTGGCCAGTGGGCTGGAAGCTGGGAAGTTGAGCTTGGCAGGGCTGGGCTGGGCCTACCTGGGGAGCTAGGCTCAGATTCTGGATGGGGATTCCCAGCTTCCCTGTCCTGCTGTTCTTTGCCCTGTGGGGAGCCTGGCTTTGCTCTCTGTGCCCCCTCCACTACTTGCCCTGCTGCTGAAAGTTGGTCAGTTCTAACTACAGGGAACTAACTCATTGGCTTCTACCCAGACCCAGGCTACTGCCTGTCCATCTGGCAGTCTGTCTCTTGCGACACAGGGCCCCTTGGGACCAGGCAGCAGAAGCGACCAGTCTGGGCTCTCTTCTGTCCCAGAGCCAGATGGCCAGTCGGCTTATCGCATTACGGCCTCCTCTGTCCCCAGACCCCTGCCGTCCATAGCAGGTCAGGATCTTGTTTAGGATATAGTGAAGAAGCTTCCTTTTCAGCTCTTGTAGTAGGGTGGTGGACAGTGTGCAGTCATGGCCTTGCCACTGGCTCACTGTGTGACCTTGGACAGCGCAAGTCCCTCTGCCCCTTAATCTCAGTAGCCAAATGATGGGGCTGAGCTTCAGGAACTCTTGTTCTCCTCCTAGCCGAGGATGTCTTTGCTGTTGGTGATCAGCTCAGCTTGTGTTCATTCAGCACAATGACAAGGGTGAGACCAGTGGAGGGCGGGAGGACTATGGAAGGACAGAGTCGGTCACTGCATACACTCAAGTGGGGCTTTGTGTTTTCTGGGCAGGTGATGGAAGATGAGGAATCAGCAGAGCCTGTCTCCTCGGGTCCTCCTAGAACCCCCTGCCAAGCCTGCTCTTCCTCTGGCCTGTATGCTGCAGTGGTGGAAAGCCACTCCAACCCAGCCCAGGTTAGGAGAATCCCGATGGAGAGCAACTGCTGGCTGGGGCCCCTGCAGGTCCTTGGCCAGGGCACGGGGCAGAAAGGCTGGACACCTGCTGGGCTAAGCTCAGCCAGGCCTCCTAGCAACTTCCCAGGTCATGTCTTCAGAGTGTCTACCCCTCTGGAACCCCACAGGAGCCCCAGGAAGTGAGGGCAAGTATGCAGCCTTGCTCCTCTCGTTCATGGGCATCTAACTCTGAGCTCTTTGCCAAACTCTTCCCTTGTCCACACAAGTCTTCCCCCTTGTGACCCAGCATTTGGGTGACTGAATGTCTAAGCATAGGACTCGTCAGTCCAAACACCCTGCTCCTTTCGGTTTTGGATTAGTTTTCAATCACAGATGAACCAAGCCTATGACATTCTTTATAGACAGAAAGGAACTCTGTGTGTCTGTCTGTCTGTTCTCTCTCTCTCTCTCTCTCTCTCTCTCTCTCTCTCTCTCTGTGTGTGTGTGTGTGTGTGTATGTGTGTGTGTGTGTGTGTGTTCAAATTTTAGATAATATCTCTGTGTAGTCCTGGATGTCCTGGAATTTCCTATGTACTCCAGGCTGACCTTGAATTTACAGAGATCCTTCTGCTTCTTCTGAGGGCTGGGATTAAAGGCCTGTACCCCCACTCCCGACTACTGTGTGTTAAATAAGTTGGGGTGTCTTCATATGCAGAAATCCTAAGGTCTTTGGGAAAATATGTGAATGCCTGGTTGGTCCCCTCTCTTGTTCCTTTTTTGCCAACCTTCTGTCCTCAGTCATGGTGGGAGGTACCCTGCTCTAAAGCAGGCAGCTGGTCAGAGACCCACAGGGAGCTTTGTGGTTGACCTCAGATGACCTTGCAGGACAACAGGTGAGCCTAGGCTTTTTTCCTCCTTTAGCTAGTTTCCTGCTTCCCACCTCCCTCCATCTCAATATACCTTCCTCCCTCAGCTGTTTCTCACTCAAGCTGGGAGTCTGATGGAGTAGCCCAAGCTTAGTGAGGAAGAACACAGAAGCCAGACACAGTGAGCCAACTGTCTGCAGTAGGGGTGGGAGGAGAAAAGATGGCGGGGGCCTTGGGGGAGTTGCCCACTGCCCTTCCTGCCCCATTCCTCTCTTAGCTGCCTCAGCTGCTGCCTCAGCTGTATCTGAGCTTCTTAATCTGGTGATCAGTGTGGTGCTGGGAGGACGGGCTGGCAGAGGCTTTAGGAGGTGACAAGGGATCTTAGGAGTCACACTCTGCTGATGGAGCATCACCAAGTGTCATGGCAAAGCTGGGGAATCACATTCCAAGCGCAGCTCCCCCTCTGGAGGCAGCAGCCTTGGCTGGGCTGGACCCAGGATGGGTGGAACCCGGCGATAGCTAGGACACAGCCCTTGCCTTGCCTGCTGTAAGGCTTCACCTTGTTCTTTGTTCCTGAGAAGGAAACTTCCCAAGATTAGTGCTTTCTAGTTCTTTCTATGTGACCAGGCCTTTATTTTTCCGTAGCTGCCCTTAACGGTACCCTAGCTCCTAGATCTTCCAGCTGCCAATCTCAATTACAAGTGGTATCTGTTTGTTACAGGTCGTCATTCCCCTGGTCAGTCAGGAAAATACTATCAGAGCTGGCCAGGGGGATAGATGTGTTCTACAGATGAGTGGCTATGCTAGACAGGATGCCTTCCATATTAGTATGAGTGGCTCCGAGGAAACCCAGATAGTTTATAAAGTGAAGTCAGGATGTGAATGCAGGCTCAGGTCGTTCTGGGGCCATGTGGCCACCAGGAGGTAGGCAAATTCCTGGCTGGAGAGAAAGGACAGAGGGACAGAAAAGGGACAGAAGAGGCAGACACTCAGCCCTGGATTCATGGGCATTTAGGTTCCTGAATGTCCTGGGAGTTCGAAAGCCTCATCTGTAGTGTTGGACTAGCTGCTACCTGTGGAGCTGTGGTGACTCTAGCAGGCACACCTGCTCTTCTCCGTAACTATGTGACAGAGAGGAATGAGCTGAAGTTTTCAAGGTCACCCAATATGGCTGTGTTTGGGGGAGGGACACTGGCAATATTCGGAGTATTAACTACCAACTGGCCTTGGTACCAGTATGGCAACTTGCCTGAACCAGCAGCCCATGAAAGAGGGCACAGCTGGACCCAAATCAATCCATTGTCTTTTTGTCTCTCTGCTCCATCACATAGGTATCTGTTCATCTGCAAGCTCACAGCCTCCCTCAGGGCACTCCCTGACAAGATAGCAGGATGCATGATCCTGGGATCTCCTTTGCTCTCTCCAGGTTGGATCTGCCTTCCTTGGGGCATACCCCATCTGATCTGAGCGGCAGGCTGGCACTGGTGAAAACCTACCCCAGCCCCTCTCCATGGGGATGAGCTTCACCTGTGTCTCTCACTGCCATTTTCAGAAGCTCTGTAGTAGGAGCCTGTCCTCACTCTGACTCACCTCCTTATGCTCTGCTTCTTTCTCGAGGGAACATTAGTGGCTCCTGCTGCCTGAGAGTGTGATGCTGGAGATGGATGGAGCTATGTTATATTACTGAAGAAAGCTTCTGGTCTTAAGGTAGCATAAGTCTTCAGTCCCAGGATTTTGGAGACAATCCCCTACCTTTGACATATGCACCTTGACAGTAGTGGTTTCTACTGGGGTTTTCTCCTTACTGAAATCCTTCCCTTTCAGGGTCTGAGGTGGCCTAGTAAAAAAAAAAAAAAAAAACAAGGTCACAGGAAGATCCACTCAGAGGTCAGAGGGTCCTCAGTCCTCCAGCCCACTAGGATGCTTAGGACACAAGGCAAGCTTCTTCCCTCTCCGGACCTGGAAAAGGAACACTGGATACGACGATGTCTGCAGCCACTTAGCCCCTACCTTTTATAATTTGGGAATTCTTTTTTTTTCTGCTTTGTTACCTACAAGTCAGCCTACCCCCTCTTCCTGACTTTCAGAAAAGTCAGCTTTTTCTCCTTCAAGCTGTCCTGGGCCACAGGTTGATTCCTCTACCCAAAGCCTAAGAAGAAACAACCAGCCAAAGAGACAGAGAACCCGGAAGCTTGTCTCAGCGCTGACCTTCGACACTGTTCTGGAAAGCAGAGCAGAGGCCTGGGCCAGACCGTGGGTTTTGGCTAGGCATGCTTCCAGCCAGAGTCTGGATGCTCTGTCTTCTCCTCTGGTTCCGAATGTTCTAAACAGCGCCCTGGTGGTTTCGGGAAGGTTTGTCATATATTTGGGGCCTTTCCTGGGCCAGAGTCTCTTGGATTCCACAAAGGCACCACTTTTTCTTGATGTCTGGTTTCTATCCCTGACTTCCCCAGCCAGGTGGCTCCGCTACAGGCACATCTAAAACAAGTCTGGCTGTGAAGTTTAGAAGGCGTGAAACCAATATCCCTGTATGGCCAGGGTGACCCTGGGCCAGTGCATAGCTTCACCGAGAACTGTTTCCATGTTTATAAAATGGGAAAGGGGGTAGGGAGGGGATACGCCTCAGTGGTAAAGAGCTTTCCAAGCATCCTCAAGACTTTGGGATGTATCCTTAGACTCAAAATATAACAATAATAGTAACCATGCCTTTCACACACATTACGTGAGATATATAAATGAGTCCTTCTTCAGCTTCAGGACTTCCCTGCTAGGGAGTCCTGAGATGACCTAGGGGGAGCCTCTCTCCTCCCCATTTTCCCCTTCCCAGCCCTCATAATACCTGAATGGAATTCAGAGGGCACCTGCCTCCCCGAGTGCCACCTGCTCACAGACTGTTCCTCTTGTTTTTAGAGCGTCCGGCGAAAGGAAGTGATGGGTCAGGCTCTGTTCAGCTCTTTTGGAAAGAGAGAAGTCGCAACTCCTGCTAGGGTCACAGGACGAATACAGAGCCAAGCTGCTTCAGAAACAGAAGAATGGAGCAGGAAAGAAAATGCAACGTCACCACCCTGTCACCACCCTGAGGCCACTGCACAGGGTGCAACCCAGCCACCAGGGACTCGGCAGGAGACCAGGGAAAGTGCCCCACAGCCCTCCTAGAGTGCCTCTGTCGTTGACGTGGCAACTCCTCCACGCCTGCCCATGCCACACCTTTCAGGACTGTTCTGGGTCTGCCGTGCTGTGGGACACTCTGTCCAGCCACTTGGGAAACGGAAACTTCACCACGGCATTTCCACCCTGGAGAACTAGGCAGCACACTGGGAAGCAGCCAGGGAAGGGACTCCAGCCTCCCAGGAGTTAAAGATGCCTCTCCCCAGCTGTCCTCCCCTTGGTGCTCCTTTTCCTCCCTCCTTCTGCTCACAGCAGGCAGGGCCTGGAACCAGGAGCCATGCTGCTATGCTGTTGCCAGGGGAGCTGGGAGGCAGATTGGAGCTATGCAGGGAAAAGGCTCAGCCTGTCAAAGTGTCTGAGATGAACCACCGCCATCCTGTGCAGCTGGGCTCAGCTGTGTCTCGGCTCTTGTTCTGTGCCTGAGAACGGTGAAGCCCAGTGAGGTTCAAGGGCACACTCGCTATTCATTAGTCAGGGGTTCTTGACGTCCTGTCTCTCCCAGGCATGGGTTCCCCCCTTCCTCTTTCTCTCCCTCCTGTGACACATTCCTGGGTGCCTGTGGTGAGGACTGCACACCCCCTCCTGCATGGCCCCCTCCACACAAATCCTGAATCAACTCCTGTTAAGGACACCGGGCGGGACAGAGACAATGGCTTCAAGAAACCATTCAGGCGGGACCCCAGCCACATTCGCCTGCCCTCCACTCCCAGTGCCCCTACAGATCCAACTCTGCTGTGACTCAGGGCACCCTTGGGCCCCCAGCTTGCACAAGCCTAGACAGGAGCAGGCCACTAGGTACTGCCCTACACAACAGGCCAGCGAAGTGCTATTCTCAGTGGGCCCCTCAGTGGGCGCCTCTATCCCACTGGCTAGATATTTTTGTGCAGTTGTTTGGGGACTAGAAACTGTACAGTATTTTCTGAAATGTCACAATGTCAACATGTAAAAGGTGCATTTACTTGGTTACTAATTTTATGACTAGGAATTTTCTCCAGATACATTGGGAAGGTTTGCTAAGAAGCATGGACAAGGAACTGCGGTTCAACTACTGTGTCATTTACTACTGTGGAATGCTACAGAGCCGTAAAAGTGTGGCAATCTCTGCACACCAGTGATATCCAAGGCTGACTGATAAACTTAAGTGGATATAATCTATTCAGACAAATAATAAATAAATAATAATATATTACAGAACAATCAAGTATGTTCTTGTTTGTATACATTTAAAAGTCTGTCATGGAGTCTGAGTTATGTGAAGCTCGGTGGTAAGATACAGACAGTACACAAGAGGCCTGAATCAAATAAAATATATCAGCCATAAGCTATGTCTGTGTCTGGATAGCTCCTGAACATAGGCACTGGACGGCAAACCTCTGGGAAAGGGGAGGGGTTTCTTCCTGTATGTTTGTGTTTGTTTGGTCGCTGTGTTTCTGAAATGCTTCCATTGAAAACGAAAGGGTAGTAGTAGAAGTTAAGTAGGCTTAACTTCTCTCAGTCAGTAAAGGGTAGGCACTTCAGGACAAGGTGGTGATGTATCAAGGAAAAGTATCTGAACAGTACTGGTGGCCTCTGGCCAATGGCATTGCTGCAGCCTAGTAATCCTGTGTCACCACCATTGCTGCTACTATTAACCTGAAGCCCACTGTGTTCCAGGCTTAGCTTTTCTGGTTCTTGCTTAGTTGAACATCATTTTTCAGTCCCACCTATGCAGGAGACAGAGCAAGGAAATCAGAGACAATATCCTAGAGTGGGTAAGTCAAGTGTGGCTCCTGATTTTCCTCTGGGAGGACCTGCTTCGAGGAGGGGGGCTTTGTGGGCTGTGTTGATTAGGAGTAGGTACCCTTCCCCGCTTTAGCCCAATGGAGGTGCCCTGCTGGGGACAGCCTGCCTTCAGGAGTGGACTGACTCTGAAAGGCTCTATCTGCATACACAGCATGTGTCCAGAGATACACCACCTGACCCTGCTGCTCCCAGTGCTAATCAAATGCCTGGCTTTACCCCCAAAGGAGTAAATTGCTTGCTAGAGGGTGTCTGTAAAGGGCAATGTGGAGCTGAGCATTGAGGCTTAAATCCTACGTAGGTCTAGATACAACATCCCACAGAGCTCTGTGTTGGGTCCTGAGACCTGGGAGCCAGCAAGTAGAGTTGACCAGAGGAACCTGGGAAACCCATGGAGGTCCCTGGACTTTGATGGCCGCTGGAGGAAAGCAGCCTGCCTGCCGGAGGTGGGACTGTCAAGTGCCAGGCCTCCCGCTCGGGTGCAGGGAACCCTAGTTTTATAGTGTGGGAGCCACTAGTACACTCATTTTACAGGCGATACTGAAGTTCAGAAATGTTGTTACATGTCCCAAGTCACAGCTAAAAAGGGCCTGAACTGAGACTTAACATCCCTCTCATTGATTGCAGTCTGGACTCCTAACACCAAATGTATCTTGTTTGGCTGGGCCACTTAAAAGAGGTTCCCTAAGTCCAAACCCTCCTGGCCAGTTAACCTCTCCCTTCAAGGTTCCCACAATGTCTTACCTGGGGCCCTCCCTAATGCTATCTAATTTCATCCTTGGGCTATGCCAAGTCTTGGAGCCTGGGCACTAGGCCTGGAGAAGGAATTCCGAGCCATATAGAGATTGGAGGCCTTCAGTTAGTATTGCTATGAGGACTATGTTATCTGCTTCCTGGGGACTGCTGAAAGGTCAAGGATCCTCCTGGACCCACCCCAGAGGTGGACATGTGGGACATGTGGGACATGTGGGAACTCCAGCAAAGCTGACGCTGGAGGAGCAGACATGGGGGAGCAGAGAGGACACTAAGATTCATGAGTTATTGGAACTCTCCCGAAGCCATTGGTTTTTCAGGACAACGCTGGGGGAGGATTAAGAGAAATTCTGCAAGAAAGAACTCTTCCTACCCTGAGAACCCTCTGCCTTTTTATCCCAGCTCACAATTAAAGGCTTGAAAACTCGTCTCTAATAATTTTTTTCCTGGGCAGGCAAGAGTGAGGAAAACAAGAGTCAGCCACTAGCAAAGACAGCTCATGGTGTTTCGAGGTGTGCAGGGAAGAATGGATGGAGAAGCTTCAGAAAACCGCATTCTGTCAGTCTCTCTTACCTGGGCTAGGGTCACAAGGGTAGCCAGAAGACTGGCTTGTTTTCAGGCTGGAGAGTATAAGAGTCCTGACATCATAAGAGAAGTTCTGAACTGGGAACTAGATCCCAGTCTGCTCCTAAGCCTTCAGTAATGTCTTCTCAATTTTCACCATGATCCCATAAGACGATCACATTTTCCACGTTAGGAAACTGAGGCTCAGAGAGGATTAGAAACAGTCAGAGCCACGGTTAGGAAACAGTGGCCCTGAGCTCGGGAGCTCTATGACCGGAATGGGAAGCAGGGGGTCACGAGGCTCTGAAAGCCTTTGACAAGTTTTTTCATGTATGCGCAAAATCACAATCACGCTTTCATCAGTTTTCATTCTCACAGGCCCTTGTACCCCAGACAATAATTAACACTCCCTTGCTCCCAGCACAGCTCTAAGTGCTTGCGCAGTCCCAAATTACATTTAATCCTCAAGCGTTGGTGTACATAGCTGGGCACTACCCGTCCTTATTCCCATCTAAGCTACGGAAAGGGTAAGGACCGAGAAGCTGTTCAAGGTGGCCGGTGTGAGTGTGAGCGGCTGCTGAGACGTGAGACTTCAGCAGTGGAATGCCAGTCTGTCCAGATGCCAGGCGCTTACCCACTGCCTCCCTTAAAGCTTGGTGGCTGGCCAGCCTGATCTGACCCCAAGACCCCAAATGAAAAACTCTCTGGCCGGCTCACAGCAGCCGGAACCACCGAGTAGTTAGAGCCAGAACCACCGACTACCAGGCAGCACTCCCTGGGACGCCCGGATCCAGCCGCCAGGGCTGCAGGCTGGAGCCTCAGGGCACCGGGAGGAGCCAAGATCCTGGGCTGGGAGGAGAGGACTTGGAGGCGGGCGGCACAAAGAGCTTTTTATTCAAATTTGTTTAGAGTTTCGCGAATTTGCATGAAAAATGTGTGAGAAAAGCCAGCTCCGGTGACCTCATCCGCACCTGCCATTAACGTTCAATTAGCGGCTGAATAGTGCCTGCCGACGCGACGTGCAGAGAATCCTGCCTGCCCCGCGCAGCTCGGCGGCGGGCCGGGCGCGGGATCGGGAGGAGGGGCGCGGCGGGGCGCAGGGCTCCGCCTGAGGCTCGGGGCCCCGACACCCAAGGCCTCCTC